GTTCTTCTTTCCCTAACCTTTTTTGTAGTGATGACATAACAAACAAAACTTCACCTGCATCTTTTGGACAATATTCTCTTTCTTTGTGAATTCAGGATCCTTGAATGTAAAGAAATCTTTGGGTTCTCGTTATAGTTTTGACAATTTTTATGGCCCTTAATTTGTACCAAGAATACTGCATCTACAAATTTAAATTATTTATATCATAAATATTCATGATGGCGAAAGGATCGTCTATTGATGTGAAAAGAGGCTGTTTATCCAGTGAATGGTTAAGATTCTCGAAGCTAAATATGCAAATTGATGAGTCAAGCGAAAAATAGAAAATATCCAGATGATAACTAAAATCCAAATTCTGAGGGGGTTATTGGTGTCATAGTTCCAATCATTTCTATTACAATTTCAATTTTGATGTTATCCAAAATTGCATCGGTGATCTCAACGCTAATGTCCTTCACGTGCGGTTCGAAGTTGCTCCATTCCATGATTGAATTCAAGTAATCCAAAGTCAATAAGTTAGTACGGTTTCCTCCACCAAAGGCTTGTTGGTCCCATTCTTTTGTTCTCTGACGAATCTCTGGAGGCCCCATGACTTGTTTATAACTTTTCGTTCTGTCTTCTTCTGTTGGAAGAGTTATCGCAATATCTTTCACACAATCAAACACCATCTTCTTTATCCTATGCAATACCCTTTTAGATTTCAGCATACGGGAAACATCATTAGTCCTACGAAGAAGCACTCCCAACTCCCTAGTACAATTCCCTTTCGTTATTGACTCATCAAGTAAGCCACTCCAGATAGCAGCTGATAACAATGAGTCCTCTCTGATATTCTTTGGCAGAATAACACCACAGCTCCGTATTCTCTGTTGCATTCTCCTAACATCCTCCCTCACTGTTCCATCAGCACAATAATCTCACTTGTAAAACCATGTTATTCTCACATGTCCATGATTTCGGCTAATCTCCACGTGACATGTAGTCAAGACCAAGAAAATGTTAACAAAAGTCGACTACATTTCACACGCAAAGATTGATTGAGACCATAAACAGTACAAGACCAGACAATAATTTCTCAGCAATGTTTATTACAACATAAAAACTTACCATTTGGAACTCTGCATCCAGGAATCTTTCTCAGTAATTCAGGACCACCCTCTATGCATCTCTGCCGCTGCCTTCTATAATTAGTAAGAGCAAATTAATACTCTTTTTTTTTCCCATCGTAAAGATTTGAGGACTATCAAATACTTAAGAATTTGAGTTCGTACCTGTGCGGTCCCATGTTGCATAAAGTGTGAGAATAAAACAAGTGCTGGTCTTCACGTGACAATATGGAAGTTCCCTCTTCATCAGTATCCGAGCTTCTATGAGATGAAAACTGAACAATATGATCGACCAAGGCTTCATGATTGTTCCTTTGGTCATGAACCTTGCTTAGAATATTTTTCGTCTCTTTGTGGATAGCAAGCTTGTTATATAGAGCTTTTAGAAGTTGGTAAAATGGGAGTAGAGCCCTTTTCTTTTTAGAAGCTGTCTCTGAATCTCCATTCAAACTCCACCTTTTTGAATACCCTCTTTCTGGAAGGAAAAGCTCTAGGATGAAAGGCTCTTGTTGCTCTTTGAGAAAATCTGTTAGTCTTTTCTGTGGTTTTGGTGTTGCTGAAGCCATTTGAGGTGTCTATGTTGAAGGGTTTGAAGTTGGTGTGAATTGGTAAGGACTAAGGAAGATGTTGAAGTTAAAAAGAGGATAGAGAGAGTTAGCATGTTTGAGAGCAGCCATACAAGGAAGCTTTGGCAGTTTTTGAGCTTGGATGCTCTCTTACCACACAGATTCATAGATAGGATACAAATTCTACAACTGACAAAACACACATAAATTAAAAATAACTCTACTTGCTTCCTCTTACAATTGTACTCATTTTTATGTTTTATTCTCCGTACCCAAAAAATCTGCAAGTTTTTTATTATTATTTTTTTTTTAATTTGCATCAAAGATATTCTTAGTCAAAAACAAATTATTTTTAGGACTTGGATATTATACATAGTCTTCTTAATACTCGGTCAGAAAATCAAACTCCTATCTATAAGGATGTGCTAGAGTCTAGAACTCCTATCCAAAGGCAGTGTAAAATCACTTCAAAAACTTTCTAATGGTAATCAATTGTTGCGAAAATTGCATGAAGACTAATACTTACAATTTTCTCGTATCAAAACTAAAGAAAATTGTAAATTTTAAATGAATAGTTTGACAAATAAAATATAATTACCTTTTTTTTTTATTTTAAGTTTGTAATTTTGTATTGTAACAAAGTAACAAACAATAAGATTTTTTTATGCTTGTGATTTTCTTTGTCCTTTTCTGCCACTTGCGATATGACTATGATCTACTTTTTTAATAGAAATTTTTTACTGGTCTTGTCTACATGACCAAATTACTTTAATAATTGAAACTTGTTACCATTTTAACTTTTTCCAGCGAAATTGTAGCATTTTTTCAGAATAAGTATTATCACAATTTCCCCCCCACCACCAAAAATAATAAGATAAAATAATGTGCTAACCTCAGTATATATCATTAGTCATTGGAGTTCATTTTTATTCCTAACATCTTTTTTAGTTTTATTTGAAAATTTACACCATAATCTATAACAAAAAATTATAAACTTACAAAACATTTTAAAATTTTCAAAGTATTAGTAATCTTAGAGAGTATTAAGCTTCACTCAATAATTAGTATCTATATAAATATATAAAGACGATTGTTTATTTTTGTATATACAAATTTTTATAGACTATTTTTTTTTCTTATAATTATTTTCATACCACTCTCACATTCTTCTCTTCTAATATTTTATTTTTCTACTTTCTGTAAATTTCCGATTAATCTGTTATTTCATTTTTTTTCTTTTTTTAAATAATAGAGGCATGTGGTAACTCTTTCTCACTGATTAAAAAAATATGTTAATAGTGAATAATTTCTTTAGTATGTTGATTAAAGTTTGTTCTTTCTCTTAATTTTGTGAATAGAAAAAGTTGTTAGAAGAGATAAGATAAATTGGGTAAGTTTTACAGGTGAAAAAGAATTAGTCAACAAATGTGGATTGAAAATAAATTTAATGGAAGAAAAAAAAAAGTGCTTTCTAATCATGCATTGTTTTACGAACGATGAGTAAGTTTGGCTGTTGGTCAATTTGTATAGTTAGGGTTGTTGGAATTTTATTTTCACTCTCAAGATCAACAAGTAGCATGGCCCCATGTACACCACTCTTTGCAAAAATAATTGGTTGGATTTAGCATGTTCCTTAAATTAAAAATTAATAGTTTGTTTACCAGCATTTGAAAAAGTGAACTTAGAAATGACACATATGTTTGGTAGAAGTTCTTTAACGACTTAAGATGTTATTATCTTAGTATTTTAAAATTTTATACCAAGTTATTTTTAAAAAATGAAAATATTATGTGTTCATCCTAATAAAAGATGTTGTGACCTAAAAAATATTTGTAAGAAAAATTTAATAGTAATTTTTAAATGACTAATTTAGTGATATTTTAAATATTTAAAAGATTATTTCGGTTAATCAACTTTTTAGATAGCTAATATAATGAAGGATTGACATGAGAGTTTATTCTTAAAACTTAAAAAGGAACATGCTCTTATTTGACTATTTTTAATTTTTTCCCCCTTGACTTGGGACCACATGTATTCTCCACAAAGTGGGGCTAATTAACCCTAAGCGTGTGGTTTAGTAGTAAGGGTTGATCCATGCTTAAGCAAGGTCAGGGGTTCGAATCCTACCTTGTGTATGCAGTCGCGTTAAATCTTGGGACTAATTATCTCACCCTTTGAGGTGGGTTACATCTTGGGACCAGCTATCCTACCCTTTGAGGTGCCTCTAACGTAGCGAGGAGATTAGTCACTGCTATCGGCAGTAGATACTCCAAGGACGAACTAAAAAAAAAAAAAAGTGGGGCTGATTCAGTAATTCTTGCAATGAATTTCTTTTACATATGATGCTCAACTAGAAACTGTACTTAAACAAAATAAACATGTAACATCTAAAATTAACCACTTGTTAGTTTTATTTCTTATTCTTTTATTCCCATGATAAGTATATTAATTTCTTCCGAGACTAATGTTAATTTCTGAGGAGAATGAAAGTTATGAACCCTACTCAGAGTCCATTTGTTTTAGATTTTGGTATAATTGATTTTTTTCAAAAAAATCAAAAAATTAATTTGAATTTAAAAATGATATTTTGAAAATATTTCAGAAGAACAGATTTTTGTTTAAATATATGATTTAATAAAATTACTTTTTAAGCATAAATACAAAAGTATTTTATAAGTCCAATGCCTAAAACCAACTCTTATTAACAGTTTTTTTAATGTTTTACTTGCCAAATATTTTATTTAAATACAATTACGAAATTGTTGAATTGTTCAAAAATTAAACGAGATATTAACTTATTTTATATACAAATAAATATTATTTCTTAAATTATAGTGTCATTAAACATGCTTATTCATTAAATCATTTATTAATACACACACATATAGATGAGTGAAAGAATGATAAAAATAAATAAATCATACAAACTTTATGATTAAAAGTAAATAAATTTAACTTATGAAATTTAAACTTGTACTATTTTTTATTAATAAATTTTTTAATGAATTTTTGTTATAAAAATTATATGATTTAAAAAAGTAAAACAAAAAAAAAATGAAAGAATTAATATTTTTCTCCAACAAATTAAGGGGAAAAAATTATACAGCATACCCGCAGAAAATATTTTCATCCTTGTTTCCTAACTATAAGACTTTTTTTTAACTAATTTACAATATTTAACGAGATTAGTTAATTTAGTTGTGAACATTAAATTTATCAATAATTTAAACTATATTTACAAAATTACTTTTGACATCTCTTAAATTAATTTTCTCCCTTTTCACTTAATTAATCAATGTTTTAAAATATATATATATTTATATGTCTATTTATCTTCTCTAATCTTAACAAGAGAGAGAATTTTTTTATCCACTTAATTTCAAATATTTATTATCTTTTATATAAAAAAAAGTTAATTAAATAAAAATATATTTTTAAAAAAATATAATTAATATAACTGAAATTGCAAGGTCTTATAGAAATGACATACAAAACAGTTAAAAAAATGTTATACGTAAGGATGAGGATAGAGGTAGTATTTTTCTTCTTAAAAAAAAAATTCCAATTCCATTATTTTCCATTCCCTTTCTCTTTACTAATGGTGTTAAAGTATTAGATGTTTCTATATTTGTTTAAAAGATATCTAAAAATTACTAATATTTATTAAATTAACTAATGTTACATCAAATTTTAAAATTTTAAATTTGTACGAATAGTTAATTTTTAATATTATTTTTATTATTTAAAAATTTAAAAATAAATACATAAAAATAAGAAAATTACTTTTATATATAAGTATAGATTTACAATCGAAGAGTACGAAAATGGAACATGAAGAATAGTAGGAAAATGGTGTAACTAGCTGGGATTGTTTAAGGAAAAGTTGAAAGAATAGGAGTGCATTTGGTTTAATTAGAAGTGGAAGAAGCTTGATCAAAGGCAATGCAATTATGCAATTATTAAATGGAATCAACTTTCGAGATGGATCCAACCACTAATCTTGTACTATCGCCTACCAAATCCAAATCTAATCCAACCATTGTCTGTTACTTTTTGTCTCAGTCACGGGCTTTGACAATAGATCATTAGGTACATTTTTATGTGGGGTTTTCTCACTCCACTTTATTCAAAAATATATGCAAACATGATATTAATTTCCTTGCCTTCAGCTAAATCAACTCAGCAATTTTGAACTTGATCGATGCAAACCACGATCAGTTTTCGCACAAAGAGAAAGCATATCCACTCATTAGACAGTTTCATCACATTTTTAAATACATATTCTTAGTTTAGTCAATAAGAACATCTCGGTAAATTCAACTTGAAATACAGTTAGAATATAAATTCCGAATTCGTGAATGCATGGAATCCATTTCCTTCTGCTATTGGCATTACTTGCAGAAGAGAAATGATTCTTCTTTGTTAAACGTGCTGTGATATTAATCATTGATAAATAGTGGAATAAGTACAAACTTAAATCCTGAATAGTTTAGGTTTGGCTAGAATTAAATAATTGTATAATAAATTTAACACATTAGCCACTGAAGACTCAAACATTCAAGGGATACAACATACATATCTAGTCCTGACACCCAAAAGATTTGGGCACTGAGATTGGAGTCTGGGCTCTCCATTTCTCAATTTTGGTCTTAAGATCACTATGGAAAGAAATGAGTGATTTCTGACGACTAGCAAAAGCTGCAGTAAACTTCTTAACTTCCCCTTCTAGATTTTTCCTTCTCTCTACTTCAGAATTTAAATCTTTCAAAACATTTTCCTTTTGGCTGGAAACCATGGCTAGTTTCTCCGATGATTCAGAGTAGTTCTGCAGCAAAGAGTCTCTTTCCCCCTTCAAAAGTAGTAACTCCCTTTCCAGGTTTTCATATCTTTCATTTAAATCCTCCTTTGAGTAAGCAGTTTCTCCTCCCAAACCAGAGCCCTTTGTCACAAAAATTTAGTTTAGGATAATCAAGAACAACCTACTATGCTTTGTCTCAAATTTTATGCTAGAATGCAGTTCTATATTTTCCACTAATGGTGCTTTTATTAACTGAGTGCACAGATCTGTGCATAAACTAGTGAAAATTATCTTGTAGTCTTTCAATCTTTTATTCTCTTCAATGGCATTTGATTATATAAAAAGCTAAAGAGAAATCAGTACAATCTGTAACTGTATGAAGTGATTTTCCTGACTGTTTTTTCCTACCCCCAATAGAAAT